CGAGGAGGCTGGGGATGCAAAGGCCCAACTGTGACAAATGCTTTCTTCATCCTGCAACTCAACAACACTCTGCTTTTTTCAAAACAAAACAGAGTACAGTCCAAGATCTACCCTTTTGTGGAAGGCCAGCATTCACTTTCACTGAGTTAGGGATTTTAGCATCATCATTCCGATAAACTTTTGCAACTACTCTAGCAAGATTATCAGGTTCATGCCAATGGACTAGAATTCCAAAACCAGAAACTGCCTTAGCTATGCCAGCGGAGTTCTTGAGATCCTCTGGAAAACTGTAATACCCGGAATACGTTTTGTGTGTTAGAAAGCGTAAAGTGGCAAAGGGTTCAACATGAGTTTTAATGAGTGGTAAAAAAATTAAATTTTTTATACGTAGATCGGATGGATGATCAAATATCATAGATGCGTAGAGCTCGTCGAATGCTTTCTGTTTCACTACTCATACGCGTTATTTGGAGTTCAGCTCAACAAGATATGGTCATTGGAAGATTAAAAAAATCTGAACAGGAGATCTGTTACTGTAGCGTCGCTACACTACCCGACCATCCTTATTCTTGCGTGCCTTTTCTCTTCTCTCCCAACAAAACCTAATCCCCTTCATCTATTGAGCTGCCGCCTCTCTCACACATCAGAGAAAACACAAGAGAAGACCGAAGGATGGAGAAGAGTGGAGAGGGTGAGAGTTAGGGCTTGATCCTCGTTCATGGCTCATATGCCTTCCTCCTCATAAATTGGTTGGTCATCTTCTTCTTGTTTTCCCCTCAATTCCATGCCTCTCATCGTTGTTCTTGATGGCGATGTCATGCGTGGAGTAGATCAAGTTGACGGAGGTGTCATGGTGGGGGAATCGCCACAACGATGAAGGGAAAATGAGAGGTCAATCGTTGAGGATCCTTGTGGTACTCGCTGTTTGGGTAAGATCCCACTTTTACCCGCTGTTTTGATGCGAAATCCATGCTAGGGTTTAGTATTTCACGTCGATTAGTTGACGGGGTAAGGGTTCTAATCTCGTAATTAACTTCTGCTGTTTATTTCAGATTGTGCAGTTGTTGTTTATGCGCCGTTTAAGACTGTTTTTGTGTGCCCAAAAATTATAGAAAAACTATATTTCAGTAGTAGACTTGAATACCTTTCTTTTGGTATAGAGATCACCTTTATAGCTGTTCTGGTTTGGGAGATGTAATCATTCTTTTGTGATGCATTTGTGCTGTCAGACCTTTGGACAGCTTTAGATGCTTTCAGTTTTACGATATCTTAAGTCCATAATCTCGTGATTTGATCTATATGAAACTTGTCGATAGTTTCATAATCTTTCCATATTGTTAAAGATGATAAACTTTGGGTCCCTATATCTTGAGTTATGTTTGTTTTAGTGGCCTGCTGTTGTTCTGTCATCAGAAAAGTTCAGTTAGGTTGTAGGGTTGTTTTGGGTATCTTAGATTCTTCAAACTCCTAAAGTTATAATATTAAAGTTGTAGAACATCTTGTTTGGTATATTCTGACATAATTTCATAATTTCTGTATGAGTAGTTTATCCATAGTGAAAATGTGAAGATAGGTGTTGCTGTTTCAATGTTGTTCTAGACAGTAATAGATTGATCCAGTTTTTGACAATGTTAAATGTTAAACTAGTCTTTGCAACGAATACCAAAATTGTAGAGTCTTTCAGTATCTTTCCAAAGGTGTATAATAGACTGTTATATCTAAAAAATAACTTCAGATATATGCTATTGAAGTAAGTTGTTGGTTTCTGATGTCTAATTCTATGTTTGATATTACTACCTTGATTAGGACATCTGGATGATTGTTACTGAACTTGTCTATAAACAACAGTTGTGTATAATACAATTTTCCATGATCTGGTAAATTTTCATAATTGATGGACATGCGTTTTAGTAGATATCAATATTCTACCAATGACTATCAGAATTCAGGGAAGATTTCATTGTCTGAATTCAACTGAAGTTTAGGCATGCTTAAGTTCATAAGAAAAATAGTGTCTTCATGAAAGTTGTAGGATTTGTTTTCTAGTTTCTGAATATGTATTTGTTTACTTACTATCATTGCTTTTGTATATTTAAAGATACATAAATATGAAGAAGCTAGGTTCCTACTAACCAAAATATTGTGCTTGTTTGTTTTGTTTGCATGATGGGTTGGAGTGTAGTAGAGCTTTACTTGTTCTTGATGTATGCTTGGGTGAATGTATGAATTGGTTCTTGTTGCTAAACAGGTTGCAATGCTCTGGATCATGCCTAGTGTCGTTTGCATCATCGTTTTAAGGCAAGTAAACGTAGCAGTGGTTGCTACAGCTTGACTTGTTGTTTATTACTACCTACACTTTGTCGTAACATTGATTGAACCAAGATGATATACCTTATTATGAATTCACTCATCCTTTAAAGTAAAGTATATATGATCATGATTGATGGATCTCATATGTCTATTATCGAAAGATAAGTGATATGTTTTATTATTGTGGAGGTGTATGACATATATGTGGTAAGTATTTGTCTATTATCGGAAGGTAAGTGATGTGTTTTATTATTGTGGAGGTGTATGACATGTATGTGGTAAGTATTTGTCTATCATTGGAAGGTAAATGATATGTTTTACGATTGTGGAGGTTTATGACCTATGTGGTAAGTATTCTTGCAGTTGCATCATAATATTGCATCATATGCATTCTTGTCATGAGCATATGCATCGTGCATGGTCGGTGAGAAAGTCATATAACTATTCCGGAGTGCTCTTGAGCCAGGTCAGTGAGAAAGTTATATGACTATTCCGGAGTGCTCTTGTGGATTATGCCGTTGACCTATGGTCATGACCGTACCGGTGCGGCATCGTATGTTGCCCGAGGAGGGGTACGATGCAGCTTCATACCTTGTTGGGTATGAAGGCAGTGGACATGCATATGCATTGCATTTGCGCTCTTTGAGGTTTATTTGTATTGAAGTTTTATGTCGACGTGAAGTGAGTATGAGGAGTATTGTTTTTATTATGAGGAGTATTACTTTATTCATACGTGGAGGTCGTTTATTTATTGTATATCATGCCATTTACTTCTTTATGGAAATTTTATTGGATATCTTGCATAATGTTGTTTACTTCTTTTATGGCAATGTCATTGGATAAATAAATCGACTATTAATTATTATTTTCACATGTTATATATTCTTCTATGATTAAATCAATGTCTAATTAAATTGTAGTTTGAATAATATGTTCAGGCAGTTTGCTTGCTGAGATTTATCCTCGCCCCTCTATCTTTCCAGGTGCTTGATTGGATGCTTTGCTTGAAGGGATGGGATTAGCAGCATGTCTTCACTGTTTCATCCACAGTTAGTAATAATAGTGATGCTTTTGGCTTGTTATAATAAACTAGTTCATTAGTCATGGTGGTTCTTCATTGTTTAATAAAAACATTTTGATGGAACATATCTTAATCATAATTTTGTCCTTGTTGCTTTCGCATTTTGCTTTGTTGATGGGTTTTTATTGCCGAGTTTTATATCGGGCATGAGGGAAGGGATGTTAGTGACATCCTAGGCTTTTGTGGTGCCTGGGGTGTTACAAAAACCTACCAACAGTACCCAGGCCTCTCTATCCAGATCAAAAGTACACGCATTTTTAGCTTCATCGTGTTTTATCACAGACATGGCATAGTTACCAAAGCGAAAGACTTGACCAAGAAATCTTTCCCTATCAAGTGCGCTATTGAACCTGACATAAGCATCACCGAGTGCACAGGGCTAGATTTTTGCAGTGCGAACCTGATAAATGTCATGGAAGAAGGTGCGAAGCGCAGTCTTGAGTTCACCGAAATCGTCCTTGCGAACTGGCGGTTGCATCTTCACAATCACCATGTCTTCATTGTAGAGAGTGTAGCATCCGATGATGAAGACCTCATGACGGAGCGGTGGCCGTGGCACTAGTTCTTCCAGCGTGAAATCGGGCGGCACATGTGGGAGGGGATCAACAGGCCAGTTCACCATGCTTACATTAGGGTTTTATGAGGAGAGCGGTGTGACGGTGGATTTGGGGGAGATGGAGGACTCGAGATTGCTAGGGTCACTAGGGTATAAATGAGGCTTGCGCGCACCTCCGTCTTTCGAACGGGAAACTGGCCAAAAACACCGTTGAGCAAGATTCTTGGAGAGGCAAACAGAGGAAGTGTGCCTGTAATTGAAGCACCGATTGCTCCTGACAGATTTAGTGCAATCTTTCCTAAGGTGACATGGGCCCAAACAGTTGAAACAACTGATTTCCTTCAAAGAGCGCTAGGCTAGGCCAGAGTGAGGCATGGGCCTAGAAGGAGCCGAGTTAGGAGATATAGATTTTGAATTCCTGGGAATTGAATGCCCCTAAAGAGGCGCCTTATTCAAATCCGTTGTAAGTTTCTCCTGAGATAGCGCCGGCTTTGTAGCCTTTGCTTTTTCAACCTAGCGAAGAACATGCTTAGTTCTAGCAGGTGGATTATGGTCCTTAGAATTAGCAACCTTAGGATCATGAGAGATAGCTCCCAAGATCTTCTTAGAATTAGAGGCAAAATCATCAAAATTCACATTGTAATTGTGAGGATAACTCAAACAAAGAAAAACAGGATGTTTAGGAACTGACGAAGAGTGAACAACATCAGCAAAGCTCTTCTTGGATTTTGAACCAACAGTGGTCCATTCGGACTCTTGCTCCAAACGCCAAAGATCAAACTCTCTACACCAATTAGGCCCTCCACCACTCCAAAGATGGAAGAAGGTAGCAAAAGATTTGCAAGAGAAACTCTCAAGATTATAGACCATGAAGCCAACATCTTTGCAAGAGACTAAAAACTAAACATCGAAACTGATAGATGAATAACATTAAAATCTTTAGCATTACCACCAAGGCATGCTTGAAGGATTAAACAAACCAAATCCTGGTTGAGATGAATTGCTGATCTACCAAAGCTCACCACAAGGTGAAAAGCTGACGGGGAGAAGGCAATGGATGGACTCACCGAACAACCAAAGCGATTGGTGACCAAGGAGGAGAACTTGATTCCCGGATCGAAGCACAGATCCAAAAGCCCCCTCGTGATCGAGCTCTTAGATCAGAGATGGGCGCCATTGTTGATGGTCAAAGTGACGGGGGAGGGGAGGGCAGGGAGGGGAGAGCCATTTCTCTTTTGTGTATCAAAGTGTTATCCGATATGGTTCTTGGATATGTTAGTGAGCGGAGAAGGTAGAAAGGGTACTGGGAAACTTGGTTGGTCCCCTTCTCCAGGGGAGAGACTAGAAGTTGAGGGATTGAAAAGAAGATTTGTTAGAACTCGTTTTTCCCTTTCAAACTACTTCATCATTGATTTATTGAAATATGAGTGTATTTATTTATTCTGATAGAGATGCTCTGAAGTGTCCATGCTACAACATATATTGAGAATGAATTATTGAAGGACTGCCGGAGATGCTCCTACTAAATGTGCTAGGCGTTGCAATCACATCCATTTCAATTCATTACTCCCTCTGTTCTAAAAAAAACTGATGTTCTCATTTTGTCATAAGTCAAACTATCTACAGTTTGATCAAATTTATAAACTAGAATACTAATGTTTATATTACCAAATAAGTATAATTAGATTCTTCATCATGCAATATATTTTCATTATATCTATTTAGTGTCATAAATGTTAGCAAATTTTTTATAGATTTTATCAAACTTAAAATAGTTTAACTTAGGACAAAACTAAAACATAAGTTTTTTTAGAAGAATAGAGGGAGTGTATTATGAAAATGATTGGCAATCGCCGACATACATAAAATTCTTATGATTGAACAGAACTATTTTTTTATGTATCAAATGCAGAATGAACGAGTGGTGTAAAGTGGTCTGGCTTTACAAAATATCTAATCCGGTACTACCGTAGTTGACGTCGATGTTGGACTCCAGCATGAGGAAGAGGATTAACGGCGATCACGAGAGAGAAGAGGAATGCCATACGCCACATTAAATTTCCCCACGTCGTCGTTGATGATTGCGTAATGGTTTTGATTCCACCAAATTTCCATTAGGTGAGCTCCTTGTTTGTTATTCCCTTCTGCTTCTTCGCGAGAGGGGCTAGCTTTTTTCTTCTCTCGTTTCTTATCCGCCATGCTTCTTGCAAAACAGATTGGTTAATCATCCTCTTTGCTCCATCCAATCCTTTCACCTCTGAGGAGGAGATGGAGCCTCCGGTTAGTAGTTCTCGGGGCCCCATGAGCTCCCTTCTTGGGAAGCTCGACTCGATTCTGGAGTGCCAACAGCTGCTGCGCAACCCAGTGAGAGGGGACTTCGAGCTTCTGAAAGAAGATCTGGCAGGCATATACACCTTCCTCCTAGAGATTTCAGATGAGGATGACCCTAACCTTGTGAAGAAGTACTGGATGAAGGAAGTGCGTGAGATATGCTACGACGCTGAGGACTATATCGATTGGTTGATCCACTCTGCAGAAGCCAAGATTGGGTCCGTTGGCGTAGTTCATCGTCTCAAGATCTGCCAGCTTCCCTCCAGGACACTGACTCCACGCCCTCGTCTCAAGATCACTCGCCTTCCTAGGACACTGATTCCGCGCCCAAGGATAGCCAACCAAATCAAGGAACTAAGAGCTCGTCTTGAAAATGCTGGTGAACGGCACAAGCGGTATGTCCTTGATAACAATACCTTCTACTCCCACTCCCACAGTTCTAGCAGCCCCGTGCATAGCCATAGCCATTGGATTCCGGAGTGGTATAGGGAGGCTGTTAGCATCCTTGTCGGTATCGATGATTCGAAGAAAAAACTTATCAACCTGCTGAATAATGGAGAGAAGAAGCTGAATGTCATATCTGTTTGTGGGTTTGGAGGGATAGGAAAGACCACGCTTGTGAAACAAATCTTTCAAGAACTTGGGGGGCAGTTTGGATGCCGTGCTTTTGTGAGAGTGTCTCGCAAGCCTGATACGAGGAGTCTGCTCAGAAGCATCCTCTCACAAACTGGGTGCCGCAACCATTCTGAAGCTTGCAGCATACTACAACTCACTGATTATCTCAGGGAGCATCTGCAACAGAGAAGGTATTTCTGATATAGCCATTGCCTGTAACCTTATCCAATTAGCTATCTGTTTTCACAAAAGACTACACATTTCTGTTTTTAAGAGTTCGGCAACAGTTCTGCTACCATATATCATGGATAAGATAATAAAAATTTTCTGTTTGTTTAATTAGTTTTGTAGCCATATATAATTCTAATGTTTAAAACATATTCTGTCGAACTATTGTACGGAGAAACTATTGTAGTGGAAACAATTTCATGTTATAGTAGAAACATGTTCCATATAATTCTAATGGTTAAAACAATCACATGTTTTCAAGTAGTCACTCATCTAGACCTTGTCTATTTATAGTAGAACTACCAATGTCTAGCTCATCAGTGGTCAGCCTTATAACGATAATCTATTTTTGTGATCCGCAACAACAAAAATTAGTGTAGGTTTTATTTTTATCTTGAAACCAATATTTTCTGCTCACATTAATCAAATATTCATGATTTTGTATGGAAATTTACTTTAATCAAATTAACTCGCGCTAGTAATGGCAAAAATTGCAAATTAGATGCAAATTTATGGGCTTACTTAGAATATCTATCATAATGGTAGAGTGGATATTTTTTTATATTAGTTTAGGGGCTACTTTTGTTTATGTTTCATAGTGACATAGGTGCGTAATTTAAATGTAAATTTACGGGGTTACTTTAGATTATGTTTTATAATGGCACACATGGCTAATTTAGATGTAGATTTAGCAGGTTAATTTATGTTTTTCTTCATAATGATAGAGGTGAGTAATTTTTTCGATAATAGAATGGATCTGATAGCTATTAATGTCAATGATGATCAGAGTCTGTTGAACTGATAGCCAATCTTTCTAATTTTTGTGAGGATTTTTAAGATTTATTTTTTTCTAGCGCAACTCATGAGGATTAACGTAACAATGAATTTGTATTTTTTTTTGGCAGATATCTTATTGTAATGGATGATTTATGGGATACAACAGTTTGGGAATTTCTTATACGTGCTTTTTCAGATGGTACTCATTCCAGTAGAATAATAACAACGACAACAGCTGAGAACGTCGCTATGACATGCTGTGGTAATCGTTCTGATTATATCTTGAAGATGGAGCCTCTTAATGATAATGAATCAAGAAAATTATTTTTTGCACGAGTTTTTGGCTCTGAAAATAAGTTCCCTGAACAATTCAAAGATGCTTCCTATGAAATCGTAAGAAAATGTGGTGGTGTTCCTCTAGCAGTAATACATATAGCTGGACATTTAGCACACCAACAAGACAAGTCAGAGTGGGATTATGTAGAAAGATCATTGGGTTCCAATTTAAGCATAAGTCCTACATATGAAGGCATGAGAAAGGTGATAAACCTTACCTATAATGGTCTTCCCAAGTGTTTGAAGACATGCCTGCAATATGTGAGTATGTATCCTGAGCACTGCACGATTTGGAAAGATGATCTAGTGAGGAGATGGGTTGCTGAAGGTTTTATAGAGGGAGACAGTGAGGTCAGTGCACAGAGCCACTTTGAAGAGCTAGTCTATAGGGGAATGATCCATCCTACAGACATCGACTACAATGAGCAAGTGTTGTCCTGTACAGTGCACCATATGATACTTGATTTTGTAAGAAACAAGTCTGCAGAAGACAATTTTGTCACGACAGTAGACTACTCTCAGAACACCAGAGAACTTTCCAGCAAGGTTCGGAGATTGTTTCTTTTCTACAGCACTGCAAAATATGCTGCAAAACTGTCAGGAATCGCACTATTGCAAGTTCGATCCCTGGCCTTTTACGGATTGGTCAAGTGTTTGCCTTCTATTCAGGAATTCAAATTTCTTCGAGTCTTAGTCCTTCATTTGTGTGGCGATTGCAACGATTCTACAATATTGAACCTCTCTGGAATTAACAGACTATTTCAGTTGAGATACTTGAAGGTAACATGCAACTATTGCCTGCAACTACCAACCCATATGGGTGGGCTACACCGTTTGGAAACATTGGAAATAAATGCAATAGTAAGCACAGTTCCAGAGGATATAGTTCACCTCAAGTACCTAGTACACCTCTCTCTACCTCAGGAGACAAAGCTGCCTTATGAGGTGGGTCGCCTGAGATCTCTCCGCACCCTGAAATGCTTTGATTTTTGTGGCAATTCGGATGCCGAAATAAAAAGCCTTCAGGAGCTATCCTGCTTGGAGGAACTTCAACTTGTCTTAACGACAGCACCATCTGACAGTGTGGACAGAAACCTGAAAGTTCTGTTCTCTATTCTTGGGTGTCTTTATGAACTCAAATCTCTGGTTATCGTTCGTGGTGCCTCAGTCTCCAAAGATTCCATTATCATCATTGACTCTAGCAGCACGAGCTGTCCAAATGACTGTCTTGAGAGACTTGAATTGCATCGTGGCACTTGCATCTTGCGCAGCCTTCCTAAATGGATAGGACAACTAGGAAGCCTCTGCATTCTTAAGCTCGGAGTCCTAGAGATCCTGAAGAATGATGTGGACAGTTTTGCGGGACTGCAAGTGCTCAAGTTTCTTTCTTTATATGTACGGAGACCCACTTTCGAACCGATCATCATTAGCAGTGGGGCATTCCCAGCTCTCGAGCGTTTCAATTTCAAAAGGGGTGTACTCTGCATTGCCTTCAGGCCTGGTGCAATGCCAAAACTACACAGCCTAAAACTAAGTTTCAATGCCTACAGCGGAGTAGAGTTCGGCGGCAATATGCTTGTTGGCATCGAGCACCTGTTAAACCTCCAGGAGGTTTCAGGACGAATCGGGGCAGCTGTTGGTTCTAAGGAATCTGATAAGAGGACCGCAGAGTCTATATTGAAGGATGCCATTAGCAAGCATTCGTTGATTCCTAGGTTAAACATACACGTTGTTGATTGGATTGAGGAGGACCGTGTGCCAGCAGGAGATATCATGCCTTTGAAGACGCAGATCAATACATTATCTGGAGATCATGGATTTTTTGGGGAAAAATCGGAGGTCAATACAAATAAGGTTGATGAATGGTATGGATGATTCCTCTTTTACTACTAATACTGTTTCGGAAAGAGTACATTTTATATCAAAACACAAAGCTATGTTCTTTAGCATTCTAGGAAAGGATATAAACCTCTTCACCACCACCCTTCCCTCAACCCCAGCTACAAACACAGTTCCTTTTGCTACATGCTGTTTCACATTTTGTTTTTTCTCTAGTGTTTTCCAATAGTTTAACCAGGTGTACTACTAGCTTTGACAAAATTTACAAGTATGAGCTCTTTGATAGTGTCATGTGTCGATCCTCGGCCCTAAGTGTTGGGCTAAACGAGGCCCAAAGGAGGGCCTTGGCCGGCTGAAGGCTTGGCCAAGGTGGTCCAGCCGCATGCACAAGGGGGTGGCGCGGGGGTGGGGGTGGGGGGAGGGAGCTACTGACGAGTGACGACTCCCTTAGAGCCATCGACCTCCTTCCCCTTGGAGGAGTCCGGACCGGAGAAGAATTAGGAATAGGAATAGATAAGGATAATAATAAAAGGAAATAAAGAATGTTTAGGAAAGAAGAGTCTAAATCTATAAGGACTCTACCTATAGATTGTTTGGGAGTCAAGTCCATTAGGGACTATAAATATAGGGGTCATGTACTCATTATAGTCAAGAAGAAGATAGAGGATTTATCCTCCTATTCTCCCTACCTCCTAGCCCCCTATGCCTCCTCCTCCTCCTCCTTGCCGATGCCCAGCAGCCCCCTTCCGCCCTAGGCCGTAGCCCCCTCTTTCTCCCTCGTCATCTCCACCGTCCTAGCACCCTCATACCAATCTACGCCCATCAAAGCTAGTATCCACAGACTAGGTATCCATGGCAGATGACAACAAGGACATGGGCGCTGATATGAATGCTTGGCTGAGGCATTTGCCACCGACATCCCCAAGCACATGAACAAGGTGCAGGAGCACCTCATCAAGGTCGGCAACTACCTCATCACCATGGAGCACGGTGGCCACTCAGCCACCAAGGAGGACACCGACACCGCTGCTGCAGCCAAGGCGAAGCAGGAATGCAATGATGTGGCCAAAGCCCTAGAGGAGGACACCAAGCGTGTTATGGAAGCTACGGGATGCCCGTTCCTCAAGGAGAAGATGGGGAGCTCCAAGACTTTGGGAATCCCCGAGATCGTGGGGGCAGGTGACCAATAATTTGTTCACCTAGCTGGAGCCAAAGGCGCCCCAAAGACGTCGCTGCCGACACTACTGCACCCCTCGCCACTCCAAGATCCTTCATGGTCTTCCAACCCTGCTACCACAAGCTGTCGTTCCCAACGTACGACGACAAGGAGGATCCACCGCCACGGCTTAACCGTCGTGAGCAGTTTTTCAGAGGCTAGTGCACTCTTGAGATCGAAAAGGTTTGGTATGCCTTGTTCCATCTAACGAGCATGTGCCTGACCTAGGAGAAGGCGGTGACTGATTGGGACTACTTTTCTCATTGTGTCAATGAGCAATTCGGTTCCCCTACTCGGCAAAACCCACTAGGCGAGTTGGCATCTCTGCTCAAGACAGGCACCGTTGACGAGTACACCGAGTCAACATCTACACTTGCTAGGGCCTACGAGCGACGCGCCTCCGTCTTTGTTGACCTCACCAAAACCTCAACATCTACTACACATTCGAGATCGATGCCTTCCTGGTCACCCTCGGCGCCGATGTTGACATCGTCCTCAGCACGCCATGGATGGCGGCCGACCTTGGCAGCGTGCTTTGGAACTTCACATCACTAGAGATGCGTTTCCAGTGTCCACACTAGGATAGCACCACAAACGGTGCTTGCCCTTCTTGCTCTAGCAGCCGTCATCAGCCCTACGCACTACTTCCATAGCAGCAGTAGGAGACGCCACGACTACCACACCCATAGCAACCACGCTGCAACATGACTCATTCCATCAAGCCACATCAACGAAATGCCTTCGTTACAGTCTGGCCGGCCACACACCATCATCTTCACCCACATCCAACAGGCAGTCCAGGATGTGCTTGAGTTACGCGCCAACGCCAACCCCACATTAACAGCACAACCACCCAAGCATGGGCTCCGTTCGGCTTACCTAATAATCCGTACTATTCAGCTTGTTTTTTAGCCGAAACAATGTTTTTCTCTCCCAACAATTCAGCCAGAACAATGTTTTTCAGCCAATTTCAGTCAGCCGAACGGGGCCCATGGTCCATGGATGACGACATCATCATCTTTGATGGCCGCTTCTGCTTACCTACATCATCGGCGAACCTGCTGGAGACTCCTCGTGGAAGGTCTGATCATCTACAACTACTAGCAGTTGGCCTCCACACTCCACCAGCATCCCCATCGGCACACTTCACCTTCCCCTCCCGGCCAACTGCTAGCAGTGGGCTGGATTGGGTGATCCCCTCCCGGCCACCCGTTCCCGCTCACCCCAATCTCACCCCCGCGTGCAGCAAACCTTGGCGGCCGTCCACTAATAGTAGTACTAGAAAGTTGCCGAACTGAACCAGGCTCTTTTCTTTTTTCTACTAAAAACTGCTGTACAAAGTAAATTACTAAAAAACAAGTATGAAAAATCAAAAAAAAAACTTGAATACTAAAAATAAAAAAAATCATAAACCAACACAGTGCACATACTTGAGCAAATGGCAATACATAAAATATTTATACATGACCACAAATAACACATTGGGTTATCCCAGAAACTATGCATGAATCAAATATTTGTGCATGAATCAAACATTCCCAAAAGCTCTGCAAGGTCTCAACTAGTTCTCTTGTGACAAACATTGATCTCTTGATTCTTGATATCAACACTCCAGCATACCAGCTCTGCTTTCTTCTCTAATTTGTATAACCATCTTAGCCTTTTAGCAACAACTTAAACCTGTTACAAATGCTAGTAGCAAAAGAGATATTAGGCAACATCTAATTCGCATAACCATCTTAACCTTTCATGGTCTACACTAGGAGCATGCTGTCACCCTCAAAGCTACTAATGGAAGTAAAGGACAGTAGTTGTCATGAATGATATGACATTGTTTTAAAAGAAAGAGGAGCATACTGCAACAGTACAAATTATGAAACAGAGAAATTGAGCTTCATACCTTCCTAAGCTCTAACTCAGAAGCATCAAAGATGCCATTTTTCTTTTTCTTTTTTTTTTTTAAAAAAGGAAACAAAACTGCTGGTGGCAGCGAATTGGTTTAGGACGAAGCAAACAATGGATTTTATTTATAACAGTCAATTTCATACAAAAAATATATATCACCGTAAACCCATAAATCCAGGTTATTCCCTTTCTGCTCTGCATGCTCATTACTCTCCTTTGTCCTCTAATAACTAATAATAATATAATATACACCATCCTTTTATTTATAACAGAACTATATAAGTTCATGGTCATGTTCCAAAATTTTCTTATAATATAACTTTGTTTTCTGCACAAGAAGCTCTGCTTCATGCCTTTTGTATCATGCAATGTTTTCAAGTCGTCTAGTCGAACCTAGTCGCCATGGGACCGACCAGGAGACTAATCGCGATTAGTCGTCGACCAGGCCGATTAGCCGAGCCTAGTCGACCCCTGGTCGTCCTATATATCAGGACATATATACCTACTATATATATACCTATATATACTATATAGTATACACAATAAAGCAAGCATCAAGACTACATTAGTGTTTAGCTGGTGACTTACTTGTGGGAGTTGTTTTCTTCTCTTTTACGCCATGTCCAGAGGGTCCATATTCCTATCCCAAACTCCATTTCTTTGTCGACTTGTCACTTGGAAGCCTAAAATACCAAAGAAGGCCATAATTAGCACCACTAATGTAGTCTTGATCTTGACACACTCAACAACAAAGACTTCACTGCATTAGCAAGCACCGTTGTAGTAGCAAATAACTAGCATTTAGCAGTTAGCACATAGCAGACCATAGCAGCCACACAGCCAGCATATTACATAACAAACAAGTTCAGTACACATAAGCTAAAGTGTTCAACACAGAGTCACAAACATTGACATTTAACAGTCCCACAAAAGTAGGCAATTAGCCATCTAATTAAGCAAATAAACATTAAAATTGAAGCCTCCGTCTCCATCTCCAGGTGGTCCATCTCAAGTTTCAGTTGGTGCAGATTCTTCATCCTCCTCCATTGCTATTGCTGAATCTACATGCTGATCTTGGTCTTCATCATCAACTTCATCAATATCTTGAGTCACTGTGTTCCTTGGACGCTTCTTGTTCCTAGCATAAGTACGCCTCACAGGGGCAACAAGAGCAGCACAACCCTAGGCAAGTTAGGTCCCTCTAGACCCTGAGTTGCACCAATAGCCTCATCCACAACAGCCCAAGTCATAGCATCGCCACCACCTTCCTGAACTGGTTCTGGTTCACAATTTTCATTGACCCATTCATTTTCCCAATGAAATTCATCAAGCAAGAGTGAATTGCATCTCTTTCCTTTGGAACCTAGCTCTCTAATTTTTTTAAATCTGTTTTTCATCTTGCGGTTGTAACTGACATATACCAACTTATTTAACCTTTGGTGCTCTAATCGGTTTCTCTTTTTTGTATGGAACTACACAAAATATAATGCAGAATCACATATTAATATTACTACCATACTTAATTACTTAGCAGTAGTACACTAGCACTTACAGCAGAAAATTCACTCCAACTACGCTCGCATCCAGATGCAGCGCAACAAAGGCTACCAATCCTTTTTGCTAAACATTCCGCCAAACTGCAAACCCAGTAGCCCACATGCCCGCCCAGTTAAACATGCCAAAAAACAGAGTAACCAAACTGGCCATCCCTGTCCTAGTCGAACGACTAATCGTGATTTCTCGTCAACTAATCGGACGACCAGCTTTCTGGTCGAGCTAATCGAGTCGGACCTCCTAGTCGAACACCAGGGACCGATTAGGACGAGTAATCGCGATTAATCGGCCGACTTGAAAACATTGGTATCATGACAATAATAATATTCTAGCTAGTTGTGACTACTAATGTTTGTTAACCCTTTTATTTAATAATTAGAAAAATGCCAATGATCTAGTCCATACAGGAATTTTCTTTCGGACCAAACCTAAATTCTACAACTGACAAAAAAAAATTAAGTGGTCACCTTTTATGAGAGAACTCATAGTAAACTAGCAGCCATTCTCAAACTCTTTTGTACAAAATTGATTTAACTAGCAGCCAGTATTTTTTTTTGTGGGAAGAAACATCACATGACCCATGGTTACACTACAAAATCCATTCAATTTCAATAACCATGAGCATAAGCTGATGCAGGGAAAGAATTGAAGGAAACAGTATCTGCCACTTGGTCAGGCGACCGTGAATGGCATGTCCCAGTCTTCCTGGAGCGGAGGATGAGGGGGAGCAGCCACCCACAGATCTTGGATGTCCTAGCGTATCTATCATAGGAACAACGGCTTCAGCCAAAGGAGAAGGTCAGGAGGAGGGGTGGAAGGCGGAGGAGGAGAGATGCACCTGCACAGACTCGAGAGATGACCGAGGTCGGTGTGGGAGCAGCAGCCGCCGCCGCCGCCGCCGTCTAGAACCCTAGCACAAAAAAAAAAGGATGATGAGGAGGAGGAGGGAAGGGATACGAGATGAGGTGGAGGAGAGATGGGGGAGGACTTGGACCTGGATCCACCGAAGAGCTTTCGGGATAACGCCGGCGAGAGGAGGCGGAGGGATCAGAAGCAGCGGCGCGCGAGGAAGACACCCGACGCGAGGACTCGCGAGCGTCCGACCGTTCCACGCCACGGGTGGAGATTTTTCTCTCACCCATGGGTCGACGTGGATCGGGCCACAAACCACTCCCGCACACGCGCTGCCAAATGCATGTTTTGATCGGACGTGTGAATCCAACCCGGCGTGGGCTGCAATCCACGGGAGACGTGGTTTGGGCCCGAATCCACCCCAATCCATCAGTATCCAAACGAAGCCCTAGTGTGTTGATGGATCGGGAGTGGCCACCGCCCACAGGGCATCCTGTCTAGAGACACCATGGTCTTCTCTTCGATGACGCTGACTGACAGTTCCTCTCTATTAGCAACATCTTCAGCAACATGAACAGAGAGTTTGGACACCCATACATCTCGCCGTCAACTTATGACATGGGGGATGCACTCTTCGGCAACTTGTAGATGATCCCGATGTGATGGACTCCAGGTACATTGCTTCAATAGACCTCCCCGGTCTATGCAGATGATCCCGATGGACGCCGGGATTTCACACACTCCCTCATGGTGCTGCATCTCCACCGACCCCATATGACTACTTCCGCTCAGCTACATCAGCAACATCCAGTACTGTTCAGCATCAACCGCCCAAGCCATAACGTCATTTGTGCGAACATGATGCTCGGTCGCCTCACCATCAGAATCGAGGCAATTCCACCTGCAGCTGCTCTTCCTCTAGACGACAGCAAAACCTGGTCGCTGATTCAGTGTGTGGATGCATCGACAGAAAATGTGGGGATAGGCTAGTGTCATGGGTCGATCCCCGGTCCAAAGTGATGTTCCAAGTGAGGCCTAAAGGAGGGCCTTAGCCAGCCGAAGCAGCCACAGGCACAAGGAGGGGGGCATCGTCCTCCTCCTCGTAGGAGTCCAGACTGGAGAAGAATTATGAATAGGAATAGATAAGGATAAGAATAAAAGAAGATAGAATTTGTTTAGGAAAGGAGAGTTAAAATCTATAAGGACTATACCTATAGATTGCTCGGAAATCAAGTCCATTAGGGAGTATAAATATAAATAGTAGTGGTCATGTACTCATTATGGTCAAGAAGGAAATCAAGGATTTATCCTCCCATTCTCCCAGCCTCTCGGCCCCTGCACTTCCTCCTCCTGGCCGGCGTCCAGTAGCCCCCTGTCGCCCTAGGCCGTCGCCCTCTCCCTCTCCCTCTCCCTCATCATCTCTAGTGTCCCAAGTCCCAACACCCTCAAACCGATCTATGCCCATCACATATAGGTTTTGAATCTAATGTGTATCTATGGGTCGAACATGTAGATGAATCTAATGTTGAAGTATTGTTCAATCCAAGCCAATACATATGGCCAAATACTATATCACCATATATAAGTTGTTTTTCTCCTAATTTCATCGTTTGATTTAGCTTCTTTTTCCATGTGCACTTTCCGCTCGTCCTCTTACCCTCTTTTCACATAATATTACTATGTTATTGCTTGAACGCAGCAGGACTTCTTCCTTGTTTTTGGATGCAGTTGTAACCTCTTCGGATGTTCTGAATTCAGGTACTTCAATTTTTCCCAACAATGGTTTCTCTACCAGAAGAGTAAATTTGTTGGATCATGTTAATTGGTTGTGACGGTATTAAACAACATTGTTTATGTCCTTCATATTATGTGTACTGGACTATATACAACTCGCAAAAAAAGTGTACTGAAGTACAGTATTTTCTTGAACTTCCAAAACGATTATTTTTAGTTACATAGTTTTCTCATATAGTAATATGTTTGTTAAGGAATATGGATTTCTGTGCCACATCAGAATATGTGTTAACTATTTTCCTTGTGTTTTAGGTGACCAAAAGAAAAAATCATATGTGGATGTCTCGAAAAGTACTAGTAGGAAACTATCTACTACTACCGATATCATGTCATATTTTTACGGGAAGGTACGTACCATAACCTATGTTGTCATTGCAGGGACCATCACTTTTTTCAGCATCATTGTGCGCCACAACTTTACATGCTTTTGAAGTGTCAACTTCATTTTTCTACTAATACTATTCTAGAAATTTACTAATTAAGTTGTTTCTAAATTGCAACGTGCTAGCTTTTGGAACTCATTTAACTATTTATTTTGTTAAGTTTTGGACTTGATGTTTGACCATAATTTTGTAGTGACTTGTTTTATCATCATTGGTACTTTAAGCATGGCTCATATTTTTGCACATTTTCACCGATTTTTTTGAATAATACAAATAATAAAACACAATGTCCAAAAGTCAAGGTGTCATACATTTAAAAATGAAGGAGGTACCACCTCTGTTTCACATAGTGTCACACATTGCGTTTACTATGTATCTAGACCTAGTGTATATCTAAGTGCATAGCAAAAGCCACGTATCTAGAAAAATCAAAACCTCTTGTAGTTTGAAATGGAAGAAGTATATTATAAGGGTGTTGCATATTGAAATTACATATAAATCTTTTAATAAAATCTAAAATTACTACTCCCTCCGGTCCATTTTATCTGGCGCAAGTTAGAATGACACGGTCTCCTAGATTACACTTGGACTATTCATTTGTTTTATATTATATTATTTATGCTTATAAACTTATAATCATTTGATAGTATAATTCTTTACAAATGTAATCATATAAAGTTTGTATTATAATAGTGAAAAATTATAAGCCTAATTATTGATCAAAGATTTTAAAGTTTGAATCTTGACTAGTTGATATGCACGTGCGACACGCACGTGTCTATAAAAAACAAAATTCTTTACAAGAAATAATTAACAATGTTTTTTTAAAATAGTAGAGGGGCATATGCGACGCACACGCGTTAAACTTGGAAAAAATCTCATGAAATGGCTTTGATATGGTAAAAGAATTTTATATTACATAGATTATATGGTAGTGTGTACACAATCACTGAATTGAAAATTTGAAACACTTTTACGGAGGACTTTGGATTCATTCTTGTCACCTCTCTTTGTGCTGCTTCCGCTCTGTGTTCTATTATCTCCTCTCGTTCTCTATGGAGTGCAGTGGTCTCCGGATCTCATCATCAGAACACAAACCTGCATAATTGGAAAATCTGATTAGAGAAAGATCTATGAATAATCAATTCAAAGTTTAGAAGCAAAAAGAGTGAGTAAAGTCATTGGGTTTTTTTATAAAATTTAATATGATTAACTGGGTGGGTCCTCTGAACATATATTTTCTAAGTTACTATGTTTTAGTATATATCCACCCTCAATCTTCGAAGGAGCTAACTGCGTGTTTTGCTTTAGACTAAAGTAAACCATACAATAATCAACATGTGCATTTCTTGATGAGACCTAGCTAGACAACCATCTAAATTTTTAAACCACAAACCTTACATCCTAATGCTTGAACCCACAAAATTCCTTGTATAGTCGGAAGTGCTGATTCTCAAGTACAGTAATCAAAGAAACAATGAAATAAATCACAAAATAATTGTAACACTGTCGGTGCAGAATGTGACTAACTAGTAAATATTTGTAGTTTTACCGTACGTTGTGATCGGAGGTGGCCTAGCACTCAATGACACAGGGTTTATACTGGTTCAGGCAACGTGCCCTACGTCCAGTCTGAGTCGGTCGGTGACTTTATTCTTGAGCACAGGTGCTCGAAGTCTGCAGTGGGGTTACAAACGAAGAAGGAGAAAGATGGGGTGTACAAGAGGTCCGGTCGGAAGGGCCAGGAGCGACAGGAGCTCCGCTATGAGCTAAGAGTTCAAGCGTGTGCTTGGGGAGCCCTGAATGAGCTAAATCGGCTTGGAGAGAACTTATCTGGAACTTGAATCCACCGAGTTATGTTGGAGGGAGCGCATCCCCTTTTATAGATGAAGGGGGTGGCTTTACAAGTGAGAGGAAAAGAGTACGTTTGCTTCTGAGCCTTGTTGCCCACGCCGGTGGGTACAAGACGATTGTAGGCGCCCGCAACATACTGTTTATGTTACTGTAGAGTATCATATGCATGTGGGAGGTTACGTTATCTTCTTCGGGTATGGCAGACATCGGCACCTGCAAATACTGTTGATGCCTAGAGGCATGTGAGGAGCTTCAGCACGTTCTCCTGCTACGGTAAATCCCGGCGCCCACAACACTGGTGATGCTCAGAGGCACGTGGGGGGTCTTACCGTAAGGCCCGGCGCCCACAACACTAGTGATGCCCAGAGGAACGTGGGGGTTTTACCGTATGGGAGATCAACGGCGCCCACAATATTGTAGAGTGAAATGTCGGCGCCTATAATACTGTTTGTGTCAGGGTGGCTGCAGAGTACTGTTCCTGCAGGCGTCCAGGGTATGGTCCCTGGTATCGTGGTTTGACTTGTGCGCCCTGGCTTCTCTCTCTATTTGTCCCGGGTTTCTTCCGAGCGGGTGTCCCCGATCGGATGATCCCAGTCGGCTCTGGTTGCACCAGTCGGAGAAGAGTGGTGAGCAGGGTTCCTGCGCACCCTGGTTGGAGACGCGGGGTCGGAGTCGGAAGTAGTGCTCGGGTCAGGCCTTCCGGTCGGAGAGGGTGTCCGGAGGAGGCTGGAGTCCGAAGCGAGCGCTCCGGTCGGAGAGGTGGGCCGAAGAAGTCGACGAGCGGGCGCTGTTCCTCTTCGGTCAGACCTTCCGATCGGTGACTGGACTGTCCTTTCTGCCTGTTGTTTTTAGACTCTTGGGCCGGCCTATAAGCTGTGTGCTGCCTGCTTGGGCCGAGCCCTGGTGTGAAACCGGTCCTCGAGGGACCCCGGATTTATGAACCCGACAAATACTATAACTTTATTATCTATACACTCCAGGCTTGGAGTATTTAGAAATTAATTAGGCCAGTTCCTAGTTGTCATTTGTCTGTTTTGTACTTTGTATCTTAATGAATGGACTTTGAGTACATAAAATTGAGTTATTATACTCACAATAGTTGTCAAAGGTGTGTATTTTACCCTAATTGGATCGAGGTACATTGAAAATGCAGAGTGCAGCTTATAGTTCAGACCTTCCGTTATGTTACGTCTCCCGCATGCAACTGCATTAGTTAAAAGTACTGCAAAGGTGCCAATTAAGAATAGTAAGTTGATCTGAATTACCAGGCGATGCTTATCTAAATGGGTTTTAAATAAATAAATATAATTTCTTCAATACATTTTACCTGAGGTGAAACAGCAGCATGCACCCCAGGACTGCTGTGAACGTGCACCTCGTCCAAGATCTGTATAATACATTAATACCCTAGAACATAATCATCTCATAAGAGGAATGGCCAAACCAGCTCTCATGCTTTGTTCCAGACTTCCAGTGCCGTTCCTGTAGGAGACGATGTGGCCTCTCTTGCCCTTCAGATCAAAAAATGAGGGGCAGCATGGTTGATAATTTACATGGAAACAAATTATCATATAAATTTTCAGGTTAAGACATTTGAATATGGCATCATAAATTTAAAATTGTTGCATTGCTACTAATAATATGCTGCAAGGTTCACCTTGCATATAGATGTGATTATGTAGATATGTCTGATGAGACATGAGATCTCTAAAAATTCCTTTTAGGTTACCCTTTTCTTATGCATCTGAAATTTTAGGTTAATGTTACACGATGATATGACAATTGTAGGGCAGATTGAACTTTTTCAATGATGAGGACACGATAATATTTACCTTTCTAATACATAAGCTCTTAGATATTTACTGATATGGGCAGCCAAAATCACCATATGAATGAGTGCAAAGGGGACAAAGAGGATACCAGGCCAATGTGCTCCACGTTCTAGGTAGAATACCTACATTCTTGGTCTAGTAAAATCACTTGTGAATGATCTCTGCTCAGGAAATTAAGGAGGGGTAAGAGAAGATGTTCTTGGCAGCTTCAGTTAAGTGAAATCTTTGGATTTTTTTATAACGGATTATCAGTTAAAGATAATCTACAGTCTAAATTTCTAGCACATACATCTCCGAGAGTCATCTCGACATCTTCTTGGGTAGCATCATACGAGCTGATAAATTCCGATGTTTGGTGACCTTTATGATGGTGTCCATGTGATGGAAGCTCTGCTGCTTTCTCTCACCGTTGAGGAATCTTATCATGATCTGCATAACACATGCGTAGTTCATACCTGATAGCATAGGCCAGAGAATGCGTATGCATAATCTACCAGAGCACCACCTGTCTTCCATCTCCTGCATTATTTACAAAAAAAAATGAATTTCAGTAGAGTTCAGGCCGTTCATTTTAATCTGCAATATACAATGAAGGGAACTTACTGCAGTTCTGGTGACCACAAATTTGATATGTGCTATTTCGCACGAGATATGGCCGAAGAAGTTCTGGTTGAGCCTGCCGATCTCGATTTCGATCTCGCGCGCATCGGTGTCGAGGAAGAACTCGAGCAGGCCGGCGTTCGTGTCCAGGATCACCCGTGCCTATCCTAGCAGCAGCAGTTGGACAGCAGGAACGCATTTGGAGTGAGGGTGCCGGCGCTCCATGCCCATAAAACGGAACGTTGGTAGGGGAGGAACGGATGGATGGACTAGGATCACGCACCAACCTTGCGTTCGTTGCTGCGCTCCTTCTCCTCACACACCTAGCACTCGAAGGCCTCGCGCGCCTCGAAGTCCCTCTCGATGCAGCGGCGGAACTCGAGGGGACTGCAGGAGATCGAGGCCAGGGTTCGGGGAGGAGATAGTGTGGGATTTAGTTCTAACCGGATTGGAACTAGACTGCTTGACGGAGTCCCTGGCAGCGGCGGCGGCGGTGGTGAAGAAATCGGGGAGGAGAGTATATGGTAGCGCGGGTAGGCGTTGGGAAAAAAACATATGCCGGTGTAAGATCCATGGCATGAACGCGTAAGGTAAGGTGTAAGATGGACATGGCCCACAGTTAGATTAACGTGTACCATTAGATCTAAAGACAATTCATTATCCAACGGTTCTAATATA